CTTGTAATCAGTGACAATTGATAGAATACAAGTGCAACAGGCTAACCATTTCATTGGCAGAAGACATTCACACTTTGTGGAGGCCGCCGTCAGGTGCTGTATAATCTGCACTTGACGCGCTTCTGGTTTTCTGAAAGCAGAGATAAATAGGTTTAACGTGTTGCAAGAGTAAAGTAAAGTAAGAGCTGGAGCGAGAGTTCTGATTCGATACAATTCGTGACGGCTCGATTCGATCAGATTCTCGAAGAAACCTTTAACAAAAACTTCTTTTCACACATCCTTCTTCTCTGTTGACGAATGAAATTAGGCGTAAGTGTACGGTAGTCACATTGGTACGCAACCACATACAGCCGGCAGGTGGAGGGAAGAAACGCGCCTGAACATCTTCAGGATAATGAAATATGTCCAAGAAAAAGGTGAGTCCTTATCTTACACTTTTTTCGAGTTTATATTGCACCGTTCCAGGTACGAACTTTGCCACCATCAAGCTCTGTCCGGGCTAAGCACTCGAAGAGGTACGTGAAAAAGCCCCTACATATGTAATCGAATCCTAGACCAGTGGGTTCACAATGGCTATTTTTTATAAGTCCTAGAGTAGGTCAGCTTGTTGAAGTTCACAGCTATAAATGGTACTAGTAAAGGAAATTTGGGTGAATTTGCTGTAAAGAGGAACATGAACGTTTCAAGGTAGGATGTCTAGTGGCTGCTAAGCTCTCTTTTAGAACAATTCTGTGATTCTATCTGAGTGCCTACAAGATTTTTGGCATCTTGTCCTTGGTGGGGGGGGGGGAGAAGTCCAAGTGAGTGAGCCAATTTCTGTGTTTGGGACTAAGCCCTAGGGAAGGGAAGGGTTCTTGGGGGAGCAAATTGATGTTTCCTGGCGCTTCTCCCCTTTGCTGGGCCTAGTCCTAGTACCTACCATCGGCCCTGTTTTGTCCTCCCACGAACAATAGCGCCGATTTTCTCCAATGTTTATAAAGGATAGCAATGTTTGAAGGAGGGGTCGTATCGGGATCCCTAAGTGGTGAGCCGTAAAATTTTTGAAATCGGTCGAGCACGACGGTTGACTCTGGTTTAATGAGTGATGATGATGATGATGCTGGTTTTGATGATGCTTTCAATCCTTGAACGGGTAGTGGGTTTTTGGAGCTCTTTAGCGGGAATGAAATGCCATGATTTTAGGTCGCGTTCTCCGTCTCCACTTCCCGATAACATTGATGCTTTTGGTGAGTTCCACTGTAGAAGGGAGATTATGAGTGTTGTGGTATTGCTTCAATTTCATTTGTTTCTTTCAGCCCCTCTTTCATCACTAATTTCCGACCATGAAAAGCTGGCGTCTGCTGCTGTCAGTTTTGTTGGTTGGAAAACTGTGGAGTCAATGTTACCTCCATGTCTACAGGTAATCGTTCCTGTTCTTCTAAACGTCTTCCCTTTCATTACTGAACCCTATTAGCACCAAGAAGTGCTTGTGATGTCATCAGTGCTTAAAACTTTAGGGCCGCTCACGCGATGACATAGTCCAACTTGTTTCTGATGAACTCGACGGAATGTCAAGGAAACGTATTTGCTGTATTTTAGAAGGTATGACTTAGGGTTCCTCTTGACTTGCCGTTTGAAAGCGCTACAAATGCCTTCTTGTAGCAATAAGTTCAAGATATTAGGGTACCCCCCAGGAGGCCTGCGCGCGGCAAGAAGGCAGAGTTGGCAGACGAGTTG